CATGAGTGCGTTGGCCAGGGATCGAACCACAGACCACGTGTGTGTGTGTGTAGTCCTATAATTTTAAGGTTGTGCAAATTTATAATTTATCGTATACATTATTCAAAGATGTCAAAGTCAGAATCGGAAAGGCAAGATACGCATTCATCAACCTGAAACCAGTTTGGAAATCTTCTTCACTTCACCTCAGCCAGCATCAAGAACAAGATTCGGATTTTCAACACAAATGTGAAGTCAGTCAGTCAGCCAGTGCTTCTATACGGGTCAGAAATGTGCACTGCGTGTCACTTACAGGATGCAGACTTTCATGAATAGCTGTCTTCACTCCATACTGAAGATCAAATGGCTGGTCAGAAAGAATAAGCAACAAGAAACTCTGGCTGAGAACAAACCAACAAGCAAGAGCCGATTGCCTAACAAATATGTAGGAGAAAATGGAGATGGATTGATCGGGCATACGTTGAGGAGGCTGTTAAGTGACATTGCATGCTAGGCCTTCGCTAGAGTGGAATGTGAATGGGAAGCGACGTGTAGGAGATCGTGCGAGGAGGGGGAGATGAAAGATTTTTGGGGTAATTGTGGAACTAACCAGCTGAAGAGAACGGCAGGAAATAGAAAAAAGTGGAGATGTGTTGTTGAAGCCAGCCCTATGTTCCACTCGGAACTCAAGGGAATAATACTACTACTAATAGTAATAATAATAATAATAATAATAATAATAATGATAATTCAAACTATCCATTATGCTTATGTTAGGAACTTTTATTCCGGAATAACTTTTTACTTCCCCTTGTAAGGCATCTCACGTGAGGTTACTACTTGATGTGTTGTTATCATAATCCTTTTTTATTAGGAGACACTAGTTGGCTGACTGGTAATAATAAACAAGCATAAGCGTGACAACAGTTATTTCTTTACGATTTTTACGATTTCTTAAATTATTAAACATGAACAGTAATCAATCTTTTTTGTTACTGTTTGTACTTCTAAAATTAATGTGAACACAGTGTAAGAGATTTACTTTTTTTTTTTAAATTGTCAATACTTCATAGAATAATGCACTGCTTGTTTTAATTCATTATTTCCCATACCATGATAGGTTATCTATCTATCTATCTACAGTGTAGTTGATTTTTATTCCAAATCTATTGATTGGTTAGTTTATAGTTCTAATACAATTTCCCGTTCAATCATAATAAATTTGGGATAAGAATAGTTAATGTTAATAAGATCAGAAACAAGACCTTCAATAACATCGATTATTCAGTAATTTAACAATTTTAAGACAATATTTCATTGATTTTACAAAAAGAAATGAATTATGATAAAGTTAGAATAATATTGGAGAAAGTTTGTAGTTTTGGGTGGGAAATTCTATGAACTCACTTCAAATTGGAGTCAGTAAGTACTGAAGATGTTGTCCAGGGTAGACAATAAAAAAGCTCCACGGTTAAACCATACTGGTCTAGTATGACTCACTATGGAAGAACACACACACACTAAGTGAAAGCCTAGTGTGTTCTCGGCTAGATTCCCGACTCACTTCATTCCTGGCCATCTGAGTAATGTCATCAGCCTTCACAAAATTAACGTTGCTCACAGCCTAGTTAAATACAAAATCTCTTCTGGCTAATATGAGTTCTTTTTTTTTATTGCTTCACGTTCCCAGTGGAACATAGGGCTTCAACCTACAGGCTTGAAGTTTCTGTAGCAATGGTGATTATTTTTTACAGAATGGGGTTGCTGCTAGCCTCATGCCCAACATTCCCTCTTTTCCAGTCATATTACTGTGACTTAGCGAGGCTTGGGAGTGCGTCTGTGGCCGGGGGTCGAACCCCGGACCACCTGCGTGTGGTCCGGTTCTCGTTATTTCTTATTTGTTGTAATTGTACTAGAATTCACTATATGTCCGGGACAGGTGGTGTTGAATCATTCCTAATTTGATTCTGCAGATTCAGCATTATGCAAATTCTACTAACACACACTTTGTGATATATCATATTAACATATTAATATAGAATTACATACTGCCACAGTACCAAAGTTGTACACGCGTGTGAATGCAACGTTTTTGTTTTTTCTGTGTGTGGTGGTATAGTTATGTTCTCTAAGTTGGATGTTCTAGTTGTGAAGCTTTCATTGTCTCACTAGACATCTCTTCTGGTAACCTTGAAAATGATTGGTTGTTTTTTTTCCGGGTGTATTTCCTCACCCTCTAGTCAATCCACATATATATATGGTATTGATTGTTACCTGGCATTCAAGTTGAAGTATGAGCTGAGGATGTTGTCTAGAGATAGTAAGAGAATGAAAGCTTCGCAAATTAAAATATCCCGCTGAAAGAACACACAACTACACCGATATCATCATCCACCTGAGCTCTACAAATCTTCTCCATCACAAAGTTTTTTCTGCTCCGTTGTTGTATCATTGTATCACTGAGTCCTATCAGTCAAACGTTTTGAAGTGTAATATAACCAAACTAGGTGACTCAATTACCACTACGCACTTCGAACTATTATTACTATTATTAGTCGGTTGGTGGTGTAAGCCTTCACAGCATAGATTCCGTCCCTAGTGGTACTCGATATCAGTCCCTTCGAACTTGTAGATATGCTTTGCTAGCAAGTAGATATAATCAACATGAGACTTAAATCTATCTAAGCCGGGATACACCTCGATTTTTTCTCACCATCTAATAACAATGAATCGTATAGTGTGTACGTTATTCTGCTTTGTTAAAAAAATAACCATGAAGGAAACGGTGTACTTGGCACATATAAATAGAGTGTATGTATATTTCAGTATGAGAGTATAGTTTGGATACAATGGTGTTAGATTGTAATTTGATACCACTAGACTAGTTTATTTATTTTATATTGCACACAATGAATAAATATTCACTGAATGATATTGTGCTACAAGTATTGTTCAGTTAAAACAAAAAAGAAGAAAATACTCATTCAGACATCATCTATAAAACACAAAATACTTGAGCAAAGAATATTCTTTTCGATAATCTCCTCTTCTGGCTATACAATTATATATATTTTCTATAGTTTGCTTTGTTTTTACGAGTTGATCACGGATTGATATCAGTTAGAGAACCATTGAAAACCAGCACTGGAGTACTGGACAGCTGTTTCATCCTAGTCTGGGAATCATCGGCAGTACGCACCCACTGGGGTTCGGTGATTCCCAAACTAGGATGAAACAGCTGCCCAGTACTCCCTGGTTTTCAATGGTTCTCTAACTGATATCAATCCGTGATCAACTCGTATATATATATATATAATATTCTAGAATAGTAGTCAATAACAATATTAGTTTTTTAAATAATATCGATTTGTAAAGTAAGATCAATGGAATTACCACAGTTCATTAAAGATGCTTAAATAATAATAATAATAAAGATATAATAGCAAATAGAATATCAAATAAAATTACGGAAATTTCCACAAAAATTGAGGATCATTCAAACCTGGATGGCCAAGGTAAGGATAATGTCTGAACTAGCTTCTTTTGGACGCATTAATTAGGTTTATTAATATTGATCCCAACAGCCTCGGCAATATTTAGTAAAAGAACTCTTATGGCGAAGTTAAGATGTTTGGAAATTCGACGAGAAACACGCCTAATAGTATGGCCTATGTAACTGGCTCCACAGGAGCAGTCGAATTTCTAGATACACATGGAAGAGGCGAAATTAGGCAGTTTATCTTTTACAAATCGATATTTTGATTGGACACTAGTAACTAGTGTTACGTGTCTAGTCCTTTTTTTGGTGCAGGCTGAATTCTATCATTCAGGTTTTGCAATGTGGCCACCATTATAGGTAGCTCGCCATCATGCTAAACATTGATTTGATGATATTATATGGTTGGAGGCAATCGGTATGAAGCTTTGGACCTACGTCTCGTGCTAGTTGGCACTCATCAGCAAGGCTTATCTGCAACCCTGTAGGAGCTCATACAAAACCTGACTGCACCAAAGAAAGGACTAGACACATCACACTAGTTACTAGTGTTCAATCAAAGCATCCACTACAGTCCCACAGGAGGTCAATCACGAGCCAGAATAGCCTAGTGGTAACGTCTCTGACTGCAGGCGGCACTGGTTGACGCGGGTTCGAATCTCAGAAGAGACATGATTTCCTTCGAGGTTGCAGATACGCCTTGCTAACTAGTGAGTGCCAAGTAGCACGAAACCTAGGTCAGCAAGGCTTCCTGTGGCCGAATGCCTCCAACTATCTAATATCAACAAGTCAATATTAATGACAACAAAACACGTACAATTGCAAATATATGTACAGCTAAGAAAATGAATCCGCCGAAAAGAGACTCTTCGCTGATCTACGTGTATATAAACAATATATATATATATATAAATGTAGAGTCGAAAGAGGAATTTATCGAAAAGAATATTCTTTGCTCAATTATTCTGTGTTTTATAATAAAGAAGGAACTACAATTCTTATAGAATTTTGTATCATATCAAATTACGTAATGTTGTATAACAAAGTTAACAGTGTTATTATGTTTCGTTTCCTCTTCATATTAAGTATTGGTTAGCAGGGATTTGATTGGTTATTGGGTTGAACACGAGTTGACATCAGTTAGAGGATCATTGGAAAGCCTAAGAGTATTGAACAGCTGTTTCGTCCAAGTTTGAGACTCTTACTCAGCAGCACGCACCCTCACCCACCAGGGTTCGAACCCAGGACCTTCCGTTTGTAGGGTGAGCTCGTAGACCATTCAACCACTAAGATCCTGTCGAATGGTCAGTGAATTCCAAATTCTGCTAATTTTCGTATGCCAACCAATGTCGTAGGTGAGCAACTGATCTCTTACCTGGCGACTTGGTGGATGGCGCTGGACTACAGCTTCTCACTAGTACTCCTCTTCATCTATTCAATGCCGTTTAATCAGTTTATTGTATAATTCATTTTTCTATGTGTGTCTAAGTGTGTTTGTCTTCTTGTTTTTCTTTTCATAAATTAGATGAACGTGTAGGCAATTTACTCTTCATTACACAAGATCCTGTAGTTACTTCACGTGTAAAATCTCAAATGAAGTCAATTATTCGTCAAACTTGGTCTAATCCACCACAACATGGTGCACGAATTGTTGCTACAATATTAAATAATCCTTCACTATTCACTGAATGGTAAGTTGATTCATTTATTTATTTATTTCTATTAAACATGTACTAACTACCCAATAACTCGAGATGTTTTTCTCACAAACTCTACATTATAGATATCTCGTTATTATTATTATTATTATTGATATTATTATTATTATTGTTTCCTTTAATTCCTAGAGGAACATAGGGCTTCAGCCGTGCGTCTCCATTGCGTTCGGTTCCCTTCTAGAGTCTTCACCTGGCTCCAAGTCTGCCCACACGTTTTCATCTCCTCTTCACATAACCTCCTCCAAGTCACCCTTGCACTGACGACCAACTCGTCGCTTCCCATTCAGTCGGGTTCCACTCAAGGGCTTGCCTAGTGATGTCACTTGATGGTTTCCTCAGAGTATGGCCAATCCACCTCCATTTCTTCCTGTATATTTATAGCGCAATCGGTTCCTGGTTGGTTCACTCTCACAGATCCTTGTTGCTGATCTTTCCTGGACATCTGATCTTGAGTATTGAGCGAAGACAACTGTTAATGAAGGTCTGTAGTTTATTTGAGATGCTCTTTATGACTCGCCAAGTCTCCGATCCGTATAATAGCACTGACTTCACATTAAAGTTGAAAATCCGGATCTTATTTTTGATGCTGAGTAGTGCTGTTGACCTCCACAGAGACTTGAGAGTAATGGAAGCTTGTCTTGCTTTCCGATTCTTGCTTTGATATCCTCGTCGGCTCCGTCCGCCTGTAGTTGAAACGATGCTTCCCAGGTAGATAGGTAGGTAGGTGAAGGAGGTTGTTTCTTTCAGGTTCCTCCCATTTATTGGTCTCTTTTTTCTTGCGTTTTCGAATACGATTATTAAGAGACGCCTTGGAACTTGTCTTTTATATTTCTACAGCAATAACCTATGGAAATTTAGGCAAAATGATTGCATAGGTCATATACAGCCGTTTGCATGTGGCTTATTTATTCTCAGTAACTTCTTGGACATTAATATCATTCAAAAAACTTCTTACTGATCATACTGGTATAAAAGATAGGTGAAGAAAGCAACTTTCAACATGTTCACCGTTGGTTCTTATTATAAGCTGTGTCTGATGGCTTTCTGAATCTCAGAGTTGTGTAATATTTTATGCCTTAACCAGGCAGTCATGATGTACCAACGCATGCCCACTTTTTCCTCCCCCTAATTTCACGTCGTGATAACACAGGTTAATCACTTCGCCAACTAGTTATTGGACTAGCGAATAATGAACGGTATGTAAACCGTTAGGACAACATTCACAGTATATATATCCGAGACATTCTGTAGCTGCTGTCACAAGGCGTAATAATTTTTTGTGATAAATAGTCTCTATTATGTTTAAACACTTGTTGTCGAACCTTGGAGTTACTTTTTACTGTAACACACCAGCACAGCGGATGCAGGCTGTTCTCATATATAGACAAGACAGCAATAATGACTGAACACATCCGCAGCTCGGAGAGGCTAGTTTTTACAGACATTGACAGAGCAAGACTGCATTCACTGGAGGCTCTATAAATCTGACCTTTTTTAGACCAAATTAACAGCATCATAATAGCACGTCAAATTGAAAAGTCCTGAGCCACACAATAGTAGGACAGCTGTCTTCTGTGTCCAGCAGAAACGAAGCAGCTAATTTATTAGATAGACAACTGTCAATTAGAACTTTGTAGAGGAATACAATACTACTTACTGTCGTACTACATACACTTCATTCAAAAAAACAAAAGATTAGTAAAAGTTAAGTGAAAATAAAAGTAATATAGTCATTTTTAAGACATTTAATTTTCCCAAAGGAGTTTTGAAAAAAAATACTTTGACTTATTACCATTCATAATAAAAAGTTATACCATTTCAGATGTCAAATAGTCTCTTCTTCTTCTCCTTCGGGCTTTTCAACAATTCCGACTAGATGAGCTAAGGCTAAGTAACACTATTCGGACTGGAAGTTAATGAATTTGTATGTTAACTAACTGTACATTATCTTGCCTGACTATGTTAGCTAATTCACCGAGCTATTCGCACTCTGCTTTGTTCATACTCACCTTAGATTAGGAAACTGTTATTATGATGAAAAAAAGGCCAAGCCAGAGATAAATAGGTTGAAGATATAACGCATATTATACTGAACAGTTCAGATATATGAAACACAAAATAATCGAGCAAAGAATATATTTTTCGATAATTTCCTCTTCTGGCTCTACAATTAGATGTCTGTATGTTTATATACATGGAATATTCTAGAATAGTAGTCCATAACAGCATTAGTGTTTTTTAAATAATATCGATTTGTAAAGTAAGATCACAATGGAATTACCACAGTTCATTAAAGATACTTAAACTACAATAATAATAACAATAAAGATATAATAGAGAATGGAATATCAACTAAAATTACGGAAATTTCACGAAAATTCTGGATTATTCAAACCTGGATGACCAAGGTAAGGATAATGTCTGAACTAACTTCTTTTGGATGCATAAATTAGGCTTGTTAATATGGATCCCCGCAGCCTCAGCAACATTTATTAGTTGAACTCTTAAAGCAAAATTGAGATTCGTAGGTATGCGGTAAATGACTTTGAAAGCATGATTAACGTCAATCTTGTGTTCTGTCTCCACAAGATGAGATAGAATAGCTCTACGAATAGATTTTGTTTGTCCTTTGCTTAACCAGGCAGGGTGATGTTCCGAAATTCGACGCGAAACACGCCTAATAGTGTGGCCTATGTAACTGGTAGATACACATGGAAGAGGCAAAATTAGGCAGGTTGTCTTCTATTCCTGAACGCAGAAGAGGAGTGGTTTTAAAGATACAGCGTAATTCAGCAGCAGGGAATGCTCTTTTTACTGCATTTCTAAGGCGCTATGTTAGTATCTTACTGGTGTTGTCTCCTAGGAACTGCATCTGTACGAAGAAGTCCTTTTTTTGGAACTGTTGGTAACTTGGGCTGTTTTGGTTTCAGATTCAGATTCTTATCAATAAACTTTTCAGGATAACCATTCTCACTTAGCAACCGTTTAATATTGTTAAGTTCCTCGTCAAGACATTCGTCCGAGCAAATCTCTCTTGCTCTGTGGACTAAGTGCTCTATTAGATTGCGCATGTATTTTAAGGGCACAAAACTGAGAAAATGTGTGTACTGGCCCGTTGATGTAGGTTTTCTATAAACACTTCTTCTTATTGTGCCGTCCTCTTTTCTGATCATCAGGGCGTCTGAAAATGAAATTTTTTTATTCCTTCCCGTTCCCAGGGGAACATTGGGCTTCAAGCTAGAGGCTTGAAGTTTCTGTAGCATTGTTCATTTTTACAGGATGGGGTTGCTTGCCCAACCTTTCCTCTTCACCAGCTTTTAGTTCTGGCTTAGCGAGGTAATGGAGTTCGCCGGCCGGGGATAGAACCCCGGACCATGTCAATGGTCGGCGAGCATCCTAATCGCTATGCCACCGACGCAAAAATGAAATATTAGAGTCTTTTTCTTTATCTATAGTAAAATTTATTGCAGGATATACCTCATTAAATTTATCGAAGATGTTCTTTGTTTCCTTTTCGTTCTTCATAATCAAAAAAGTATCATCCATGTACCGAAAATAAAATTCCAGTTCATTAATAACATCCTTCAAAGGCCCATTTTCTAGTTTCGCAAGGAAAATGTCGGCTAGAATGGGTCCTAGTGGTGACCCCATTGCCACACCGTCGATTTGTCTATACAGTTCCTTATGAGGTTTATGAATGAACTAAAATGTGGACTTATTCATTATAAAAGTGTTTTATACTTGAACACAGCCTAGCAACAAAATGTAACTTATACTTTCAACCCAATAAATTTCATCTGTTAACTTCAAAAAAGAAGAAGAAGAAATATACCACTAGAAAATTATGATTAAACAAATGTCATGGGCGCGCGTTCATACAATAATGTGAAGTGATACATAAAAGTATATTTCCTGCATATTTATTTCATCAATAAACAAATTTCTTGATGATCACATTTCTAACTGTCACATGAATTTTGATTATCGTTTTATCGTGTTTTCATCATTGTTACACACTAAATGTTTAGTGCCTTAATATGTATTTTGTTATGTATATATATATATATATATATATGCGTCGGTATTTCAGTGGTAGGAATGCTTGTCAGCTAAGATTCAAGAGGTCCAGGATCGATTCCCAACCGATGCACTTCTAAACCTTGCTTTGCCAGTAGTAGTGTCAGCCCAGGAGAAATAGGGAAATTTGGGTGTGAGACTAGTATCATCCCCCCTCCCCACCTCGGGGCCTGAAGGCAACATCCACTGCCACTTAGATTTCAAAGCTCAAACTTGAACTCATATATTCCACTTGGAACTCAAAGGAATGATATTCCTAATTGTAGTGGATTGGATTATGCTGTAGACTGTGCATGGGGAGCGACAAGACAGGATTTACGTCTGACGTCATTCAAAGTTGAAGAACTACAGCCGAAAGTCAACAGATTAGCAGAAGAAACAGCGAAGACAGGACTCCAGGTGAATATAGATAAGGTGGAGGTAATGAAGATAACCAATCAACCAACCAATAACAACAACAACAAGCATCAGTCAGTCAATATCAGCGAATTAAATTCGATAAGAGGTCACTCCCTCCACTTATTTAGGCAACACCGTTTCAACTACAGGCCGGCGGCGGCACTGAAGGAAGTTGTCAAAGCCAGGAAGGCAAGGCAGACGTTCATCACTCTGGAATTCTTCTGCATTCAACCAGTATAAAGAACAAGATTTGGATTTTGAACACCAATGCTGGGTCAGTTAGTTCTTCTATATGGTTCAAGAACTTGGTGCATTCGTCACGAAAAGCATTTCCAGCAGACTACTACAGACTTTTATCAACAGCTGCCTTGGCTGTTTCTATACTGAAGAATAGATGGTCAGTCAGAAGGAACTATGAACAAGAAACTCTGGGAACGAATCGACGAAGAATCTATTGCCCAATGAGAATATGTAGAAAAAAGCGGAGGTGGAATGGA